AGACGACCACATCGCCCGTGAAAAGGTCAAACTCGGTGAAACAGAGGACGAGTCTCTGAAAGACCCCATCGAGGAACGAATACGTAATTTGGAAGAGGAAAGGTATACCCGGCTGGAAGCGTCATCCTCCTTCCGAGACCAGCTTCGATCCCAGATCAGCCGTGTGCGGAAACCGTTGATTGAGTCCTCTACCAGGACACCACGCTAGCTGACAGGCTCGAATCCTGTTTCAAAAGCAAGGGATCACCATCGCCAGTATTCTGACTGCATTGGGCTCCATCATATCAACCCTGGTCGTGTCATTGACGCCAGTGGTACACCAACACCCACACCCCCAAGTGGTGGCGTCAAAGACTGGATAAAAACACCTGAAATCCCTCGGGAGGCCCTGGCTAAACTGGCTGGTAAGGCCGCCGAAGCCCTACCCGGCATCCTGGATAGCATCGTCTCGTGGTTGCTGAGCGCTCTGGCTAAAACTGCCACGTGGCTCGGCTGTGGGCAGCCATTGTCGCCATGGCGGGTCTGGTGTACGTAGCGGCTAAGGAATTTTTAACCAAATAAGCCCTACCCCGACCGCGATCCCCCCGACCACCAGCGCTGTTTTACGGTCGATGTGCTGCTGACTGGACGCCTGCACGTGTGGGGGTTGGGGCTGCAGGTGTGTGTGTTGAACCCTGGACTCCAGGGGTGGTACGACTATACCCGTTTCACCGGTCGTTGGAGGTGGTACGTGGGGGATGTTGACATCGGGGTTGACCCCCAACTTTTGGGCTGCCGTGGCTACGACTATTTCGTTGTTGTAGCCCACCACTTTGCTGATTCTCGGTCGCATGTCGCTTGGAGCCATGTACAGCCAGCCCCATGTCAAACACGTAGTAGACTTTCGACCTGGCATATTCCAACACATCTTGGTATCGTTGTATGGCACCCGGTAGATCAAATGGAGCATTGATAGCATCCTCAACGTTAACAACGAACTGTTTCTGTGCGTCTAAGGCAGTACCCGTACCGATTATACTGGAACGCGTTTGCGTCTGCGCACCCAACAGCGCCCACACGTACGTTCGAATCGAGTCGTTCAAGCGTTCGATGCCGGCACGAGTGAACCCTCTCGACGTGTCCAACATGAACTTTTTCCAGTCATCCGCTGGCCCCCTGCTCGAACCTCCAGACTCGGTAATCCTTGCTGTTGTCGAAAGCCATGTAACGGTCATCCCACTCGTTTGTTGTGAGGTGATGATACGACTTGTACCCCCATTCTTTCATCTTCTCGCTGGCATCCACGATAGGCATGTTGTGAACGATGGGGATACCCAACCCGTGGTTCGGCCCCGGCAAACGCCAATCCGTCTTCGGGTCTAGCTTAAATTCGTTGCAAATACGTTCATAGGCCCGTCTATCGTACTGGTTGTTTACTGCGTCCCATGCTTTGTCCTGTGGGAGTGGAGCGCTGATCTCTTTGAGGATACGTCTGACCTGGTAGTACACGTGGAACGTGAACACAGACTCACTCAGCGGCCCCGCCGAAAGTGTCGGTCAACGTCAAGCCACACCCAGTCGTTGCACACCACACGGCGAAGTTGAGTTGATTCTGCCAGAACTGCATAGGGTTGTTGAACCAGGTGTGGACTGCCTTGGCGTTGGTCGCCGAAAGCTTATACCGGTCGAACACATCTATGAACTGGGCGTTGAAATACAGCCCATCAGCGACCACGATCTTGTGTGGGAAATCTATGTCCAGTTCAGGGTAAAACACTCCCGGGGAGTAAAACACTCCTTTGTCCATTTTAAAGTATTATATAATGAGTATATATACATCTACATAACACTTCCAGGAATAACGAGCGGCAAGGCTGTTCAGCTGATGCACGCGATCGATAACACGTCGGGCCAACTCAAAGTCGCACTCTGCGATATCACCTACCAACCACGATGGACTAACATGAACGTCAACAACAACAAGCTGTTCGTCAGTGGCGCCCGCAACCATATAATCGACGGCTACCACAGCGTGTGTTTGCTAAGCGACAAGATCTTCAAACCATTGGGAGCCGAACTCAAGATGAATGACTCAAATGGCACAGTGGTGTTAATCAACAACGGAAGAAACCCCTTGAGGCTCAGCTGACCATTGGCGAGGACACTCGGTATGTCGCCTGACGAGATAAAACCAACAACTACAGTCACAGGCACAAAGTTACCCGACCTAGTACCGTACCGAGAGCTGTGCATTCATCTCGCCAGCCACGGACAACATTCAAGGTGGACCCTTCCACGATACTGAGAGCCTTACCGGTGAAAAACGGAGAAATACAACGACGGTAGAACCGAGTCGTTTTCGCCGCGGCAGTATAAGAGGTTAACTCGAGGCAACATCCCTGAGCTGATAATATCGGTGTTAGATATAAATCATAACCCTGTGAATATAGGATACCTCAGCATAAAGCTGCACATAAAATGACTAGCGCACAAGGCCCCGGGATGAAGTTGAAAAATGCATCAATGTGGGGATCTCCGACCTCGGGGACACACGCGGTTTCGACGACCCCGGAGTAGATGGTAAATTGTACGCCTTGCAACTGAAAAACAACATTTACAAACGCGTTGAAGTCCCCTCCGATGGAGCCCTAGGTGATATAGTAGATACCTCAAGAGTGGTCGTCAACACTCGGTACGCCCTAGTCAGCACCGGTGATGATAAATGGATGGTATACCCATCGTTCGGAGGCAAACTGTTCGACATAGAAGATGTTGAGAGCACTACCGTCGCCCGAAACAAGCCATATACGCTCGTCTTCACCGATGATGACAAGTGGGTGTTCTTACCCGCTAAAGTTGACTGGTTTCTCAATATTAAGCTCGGCTCCCCTACGTGTTCACGGAGAACAAAGACAACTACCTAAACAAAGTCGTGAACAACGGAACCCTGCTCGTGGCTTACGTCCCGGCTCAGAGACGTAGCGTAGTCATCAGCCCAGCCGCCAGTATGGCAGCCCACATACTATCGAGTAAACCGGGAGTGCAAAACGTGACATTGCAGTTGGTGTCTGAATTCGAAGGCGTGGTCAACATCCTGGAGAGTCTACCGGCGAACTCCACTCTGGTCATCAAAGTCTACCGAGGGGAACCATCGCAGGATGAAGTCAAAATCGTGAAGGGGTCAAACTCGGGTGGGTGAAGCGGCACCAGTATCAGGTTTGCACTGTTTACGTGCGGGTGGGTGCCGACTCCCACACCAGTCTGCAGGGGGTCACCGTGACCGTGGAAGACACGATATCACTCACCAAGATCTTCCTACCCAACAACATATACTTCATGGGGTTGAAGTGCGCCCCTGACAAATTATCAGAAAACAATTGGAAACTATCTCGTAATAGTAATATATCAATGTCCAATCATCGCTACGCTTAACGACCTAGGGGACACGGAGGGATTCGACCAGCCCGGAGAGAAGACGCCTTGTATGCCCTATGCTTGAAAGACAACGTGTATAGGCGCGCAGCAATGGTCGATCATCGCCCCAAAATCACACTCGGGGTCTAGGAGGCACAAGGGGTTTCGACCAGCCCGGCGAGGAATTCACCTTTGTACGTCCTACGCTTACTAGGCGGCGTGTATGTGCAGCATCGTCTGCTAGCCGAGCCCAAATGGTTTATCAACATGACCCTTGCTGCACCTTATATCTCGCTAAACAAAGATGGCTATGTCTCCGAAATTAGGAATAACGGTACCTCTCTCAGGGTTTTGTTCCAGAGTCTGATGTAAGTGTCCAGCTAACCCCGGATCGAACAAGCAACATGTTAGTTTCAATCAAAAATAATGAATTACAGTTTTACATCCTCAATTACCGGGTGAATCCTATAATTTATGATATCGCCCTACACACTCATCATAGAAGTCCATTTCGGGGAACCGCTCCTAGTTCAGCACTACAACTTTTATCCGGGTTGACAATACAATGGGACGCCATACGCGGGGCCAACGTTGCCGTATCGTCATACACCCGAAACCCCTCAATAGGTTATATAGTCCCCTTCGTCAGCCCCCTGATGTTCGTGTGATAGTAGAGGGCCGTTGATCCTCTAACCTATTTACCTGTCTGAGAGTCTGCACCTTATAAGTCTCAAATACATTCAGGAACGATTAAATAGCACACAATTAGAAAATATCTCATAAGATATATTATATGCACACAGGATGGGGCTGTACCATGTCGCGGAGGAAGCCCCGAAGCCATTGGAAACCGTAGACGGGTTCGGCTTTGAGACAGTTATGCGACATAAAACGCCAACTAGAACAAGACCGCGACACACGGGCAGCATTGTATAAGAAGTACCATAGAGCTTTCAATGTCGTGGATGGGGTTGATACCGCCCTTATGGCAACCAGTATGGGGTTAGGGGCAGTAGGTGTCGGGGTTGTTGGCCACCATCATAGCCGCACCCATAGTGCTAGGCATCGAAATAACAGCTGGGGTGTCAGGGTTGGCTGGATTGGTGTTTAAGTTTGTGTCACGCAGACTGCACCGGAAGGCATTAAAACACGACGAGATCAGGATTCTGGCTGAAGCAAAGCTGAACACGGTAAGTGAGCGTATTTCTACAGCACTCACTGACAGTAAGATCTCAGAGGAGGAATCTCGTTCAATCCTCTCTGAACTCGACAAGTACCGTAAGATGAAACAAGAAATCCGGCTCAAGTCTCGTAAGTCTGCTATCGGCGAAGACGAGAAAAAAAAGTACATAGAACAAGGGGTGCGAAACATTAAACTGTTTCACACGGCATAGAGATATCACATGATCAGGAAGTGGCACTCGTGGCCGGGAAGTTAACTGGGGGTTCAAAAGTAGTATATACGATGGGGCGAGATCTCAGGGTCTGACAAAAGCTTTATTTGTGAAATAAAGCTTTACAGAACTTTGTTGGACTTGATCTCGGACTGTCATTCTATCTAGTACTACCCAGGTATATTTGTATTAAAATCAAGTTTTGACTGTTTTTTTTATTGATGATTCATGCCTGTTTGTCCAGATGATGTCGCCTGTGAGATTTCTGTTTATACCTGGGATACTTATATTTCTCAACATAGGATACTCACATCAGCAAGGTAAGATGATTCATCAGCATTGATATTTAATATACATACACATATCCTTACACACATGTGTCCGTTCTTTTAGGTATCATTTATAGCACGGGCATGTGTCCGTTCTTGTAGATATCATGAATAGCACAGTTAGTGCACGTTTTAATGATATCATTTTTAGCACAGTCATGTGCACGTACATATATAGACACACATAACACGCATGCATGCATGCATGCACGCACGTACAATATTCATACACGCACTATTTACATTGATTGATTATTTTCATGTTTCCATGAATAAGAATCAAAATTTAATTGGTTTCATGCATACAGTATATGGATTTTATACCTCATTCATATGGTAGAAATGTGTGTACATGAATAACACCAAACGGATTTTGCACTTCACTCATGTGGCTGAAGGATAAACATAACAGAGTACCTATTTTGCACCTTATTGTTATCGCTGGAAGCTATATACACATACCATCATAAGCATTTTACAAATCAATTATATGACTGAAAGATGTACTTACATACCTTCATATCCATCTTGAAAATCAATCATATGGCTGAAAGATATACATGCATACCATCATATGCATTTTACACATCAATCATATGGCTGAAATATACACATACATACCATCATATGCATTTTACACATTAATCATATGGCTGAAAGATGTAATTACATACCTTCATATACATTTAGCACATCAATCATATGTCTGGAAGATGTACATACATACCTTCATATGCATTTTACACATCAATCATATGGCTGAAAGATATACTTACATACCTTCATATGCATTTTACACATCAATTATATGGCTGAAAGATATACTTACATACCTTTTATATGCATTTTACACATCAATTATATGGCTGAAAGATATATATATACATACCATCATAAGGTTGTTACACATCAATCATATGGCTGAAAGATATACTTACATACCTTCATATGCATTTTACACATCAATCATATGGCTGAAAGATGTACTTACATACCTTTTATATGCATTTTACACATCAATTATATGGCTGAAAGATATACTTACATACCTTCATATGCATTTTACACATCAATCATATGGCTGAAAGATATACTTACATACCTTCATATGCATTTTACACATCAATCATATGGCTGAAAGATGTACTTACATACCTTCATATGCATTTTGCACATCAATCATATGTCTGGAAGATGTACATACATACCTTCATATGCATTTTGCACATCAATTATATGGATGAAAGATATACTTACATACCATCGTATGGATTTTACACATCAATTATATGGATGAAAGATATATATACATACCATCATATGGATTTAGCACATCAATCATATGGCTGAAAGATGTACATACACACCATTATATGCATTTTACACATCAATCATATGGCTGAAAGATGTACTTACATACCTTCATATGCATTAAGCACATCAATCATATGGCTGAAAGATATACTTACATACCATCATATGGATTTTACACATCATACATATGGCTGAAAGATATATATACATGCCATCATATGCATTTTGAACATTACTGTTATGGCTGAAAGATATACATACATACGTACCATCATATGGATTTTACATGTCATTGATATGTCAAAACTATTATCTACACATAACATCATATCAATGGGATTTACACCCCACCGCTATGGCAGAAAGATATGTATATTAATATTTGAATGACGGATTTTGCACTTCATTCATATGGCTGAAAGATAAACATAAGAGAGTACCTATTTTGCACATTTTGTAAGGCTGGAAGCTATATGGATACATAGCATCACATGGATTTTACACGTCACTGATATGGCAAAACGACTATCTACACATAACATCATATGGAATTTACACCCCACCGATATGGCAGAAAGATATGGATACATACCATCACATGGATTTTACACGTCACTGGTATGGCAAAACGACTATCTACACATAACATCATATGGAATTTACACCCCACCGATATGGCAGAAAGATATGGATACATAGTATCACATGGATTTTACACGTCACTGATATGGCAAAACGACTATCTACACATAACATCATATGGAATTTACACCCCACCGATATGGCAGAAAGATATGGATACATACCATCACATGGATTTTACACGTCACTGATATGGCAAAACGACTATCTACACATAACATCATATGGAATTTACACCCCACCGATATGGCAGATAGATATGGATACATAGTATCACATGGATTTTACACGTCACTGATATGGCAGAAAGATATGGATACATAGCATCGCATGGATTTTACACGTCACTGATATGGCAGAAAGATATGGATACATAGCATCACATGGATTTTACACTTCACTGATATGGCAGAAAGATATGGATACATAGCATCACATGGATTTTACACGTCACTGATATGACAGAAAGATATGGATACATAGCATCACATGGATTTTACACGTCACTGATATGGCAGAAAGATATGGATACATAGCATCACATGGATTTTACACTTCACTGATATGGCAGAAAGATATGGATACATAGCATCGCATGGATTTTACACGTCACTGATATGGCAGAAAGATATGGATACATAGCATCGCATGGATTTTACACACTTCACTGATATGACAGAAAGATATGGATACATAGCATCACATGGATTTTACACTTCACTGATATGGCAGAAAGATATGGATACATAGCATCACATGGATTTTACACGTCACTGATATGGCAGAAAGATATGGATACATAGCATCACATGGATTTTACACTTCACTGATATGGCAGAAAGATATGGATACATAGCATCGCATGGATTTTACACGTCACTGATATGACAGAAAGATATGGATACATAGCATCACATGGATTTTACACTTCACTGATATGGCAGAAAGATATGGATACATAGCATCACATGGATTTTACACTTCACTGATATGGCAGAAAGATATGGATACATAGCATCACATGGATTTTACACTTCACTGATATGGCAGAAAGATATGGATACATAGCATCGCATGGATTTTACACTTCACTGATATTGCATAAAATAAATGCAGAAAAAGTTCAGTATTATATTTATTTCGCATCTCAGTGGCATGGCTAGTTCACTTGCACTCACGTGGTACAATCGTGGGGCCCAGTCCCAAATCGGACGTGATTATAGTTACTAATCTGCCTGTATATGTTGTGGAATATTGAACTGTTACAAACGTTTTCGGAAGCTTCCGATACAAACATTTTATAAATGAAAATTTAATGGAGTAAATTGTATCTTTTATAGATATTTGGGCATAGTGTTCACACCAAAAATATTTTGACTAAAGTAGTAACTACTCTTTGCTGCTAAGAGCAGCAAGGCTATTATGACATTGTGTGGATATCAAAAGACATATACCATGTTAAGATTTATTTAAGACATCTGATGCTGCGATTGTTCCTATAGCGTGTTATTGTGCAGAGGTATGGGGCACCTCATATTGTAAAAAATTTAATGTACAGCATAAAATGTATAAAATGTTCCTTAAAATGGTTTTGGGAGAATGTGGCAGGGCCCCTCTCCAACCTGTGTATACCCACAGGGCTGTTAAGTATTGGTGTAGGATACTGTATTTGGATGAACACAGACTGCCAATTCTACCTAATGGACGACTCTGGCTGTACCACATGGGCTACTCATATAAAACATATGCTGTTTAGACTTGGATTCGAATATGTGTGGTTATTGTGGGAAATGTGAAGATATTTATTCACCCTTTACACAAAGATTATTTGACGAAGTTCAACAATCATGGTGGAGTTCTGTTTATCTGATTCCTTCTATTATAAGCATTTTTAATCACTGTTAACTGTACAGACGTATCTTACGCTCCCAACCCCTATACATCAGAGACTATGCATGTCTCTGTTTCAGATGTAGTAGGTATAAACTTGCAGTACATTTTGGAAGATACACAATGTCCCATACACTGAACAATGCGCCATACATATATAAATATTGTATAGAAAGGGAAGGTCTTTTGCTGAAGATGAATGTCATATATTGCATGTATGTGAACGTTACTCAACCCTAAGAAATATAAACAATATATATCAAGTGCCACACAGTAACATCTTTTTTCGAATTTTTCCTCTGAAAACTTTGATACTGTGTATAACGCATGTCTATATGTATATTAAATCAAACGTAGGGAAACGTAATCAATTCCTTCATTGGCATTTGTGTTTCATGCAACCTACAGTGTCTGTAGTATGGGCCTATGGCCTCTTCACTGAATAAACTGTCTGTCTGAATGTCTGCTCCCTATACATTAAAACTGACCCGCCAATGCTTTGTACAGCAAATCTTTTTACAAACCTTGCTCTTTATTCACAAGCATAGAAACAATCTCTGTACTTCTACACTGGTGTCGTATTTCCAAATTGCGACTAATTTATCTGCTCCATCGATCACTTGATTGTCTGGTTTGTTTACAAAGCGCCGTCGCATGGTAGCAGTATTGCTATGAGAGGCCAGGCAAACATACTGTCATGTTTAGGCACACATTGTGCGCTATAGCCAGGGCCACCGTGCTACCATTTTCGCGAACTTCAATGGGATCAGTGATCCATTCCTAAACTTTCCCCAGCAATGTTCCCTTTACACCAAACGGAATTTGTTTCTGAGGATAGTTTAGACTGAGCATGTTCTTGCACTGACGTTCTTTACTATACTCACACCTAGCCATACACCCTTGTTTTCATCAGAAACTGGTGGAACTGTTCAAGCCTGGGATTCTTTAGAGGCATTTAGAAGTTGGTGACTATATACGACGAGTATATGGACGGCAACTTCTTCTTTATTGTATAACACGACGTTTCTGGGCTACCTCCTTGACCCCTTCTTTAGGTGATTTGTTCAAGCCTGTTCAATATCTCGCTTACTGTTAGTGTCAGTGGCTGATCAATGTGCATGGTAAATGTACATCTTTGTTCTGCACACGTCATTGGTAATTGCAAGACGTCAGAGTATACATAGTTAGTGTTGAACAGTGGTGACACCCGGTGTTAGCGGAAAGGTTAGTGTGTCCTGTGTCTTGTAGGAACCACCACCACACAGTTAGCGGAAAGGTCAGTGTGTCCTGCTCGTCTTCTAGGAACCACCACTCACACAGTTAGCGGAAAGGTCAGTGTGTCCTGCTCGTCTTGTAGGTACCACCACTCACACAGTTAGCGGAAAGGTCAGTGTGTCCTGCTCGTCTTGTAGGAACCACCACCACACAACTGACATTACATTTTCATTCAAAACGTTCTTCCCTTCACTGCACAACAGTGTTAGCTTGACCCCATAAATGTGTATGGTAATGCAGGGCAAGCATGGCGGTGGGCTATATACTCCATGTATGCTGCTGGAATGTAACGACATAATATCCCACAGAGACCAAGGAGCTGCTTTGTGAGATCCACGGTGGTTTGTATGTCCTCTGTTCTTATACAGCCAGATACAGCCAGACAACTTACACTGTGTGCGGTCCTTGAAGCGTTACATAGAGTGTAGTCGATATAATCTTCAGATGAAAGGCATGGTTGAGATCTGTCCAGTTATGTTGGTTGTAAAACAATGGACAATAGAGGACACTGGATTCTGGTTCCCCGAGGGATTCAGGCACAGCAGGTTCCTAGTACCCCGTGCTTTCTAATTGTGGGGACAGTTCAGAGGATCCGTATCCGCGCATGTTAAGTTGTAGGACTTGCCGTAGCCCAGCAGATCCACAATACCTTGACAGACTATGCCACCAGAGTCTTGTGTTACTGGGGTATTCTTGGGTTCTCAATGTTTGTTGTAAGAGCTGTGTCATAGGTATCCAGAACAGAGACAACACGCATCGTTGAGGTAACCATTGATTATAACGTACGGGCCCGCATACGTGACCAACAAGTCTCTGTGGAACAAAAGTCTTTTCTGTACGTCTTGAGTTGTGTGTATTGAGGGCTCGAGGAACTTCCTGCTTGACTGGTAGAGAGTTGTGTATAGGCGGGCTCGAGGAACTTCCTGCTTGACAGGTAGACCATGGCACACAGATACACCCCACACAATCTACACAATGAACACCACAACACGTGTACATCTACGTTGTTTATTGACGTAGTCCCTGTAGTACGATGTGACAGACCGCGACATAACTGAAGTAGTGCCATCATGCACTCACTCACTCACTCACTCACCTCATTCTCACTCTCACTCACTCACTCAACTCACTCACCCACACTGACTCTCACTCTCTCACTCACTCTCTCTCACCCTTTCACTTCACCTCGCCTCGCTCACTCATTCACTCACCCGAACTCTTTCCTCTTTCTTCACTCACTTTCACTCTCTTTTCACTCATCCACCCATCCTCCCACCAACTCATCCACCTCACTCACTCTCACTCTCACTCTCACTCACTCACTCACTCACTCACTCCTCCTCTCTCTCCTCACTCTCACCTCATTCTCACCCACACCTCACTCTCACTTCTCACTCACCTCACTTCCTCACCTCACTCTCACTCTCACTCTCACTCTCACCTCCATTCTCACTCATTCTCTAACTCACTCACTCACTCTCACCTCACTCACACTCACTCTCTCACCATACTCACACTCACTCACGCACTCACTCTCACACTCGCACACACTCATTCACCACTAACTCACTCACCTCACCTCACCAACTCTCCCTCACACTCACTCACCTCACCTCACTCTCACTCATCACTCTCATTCTCTCACCTCACACTCTCACCTCACTCATTCACTCTCACCCATTCACTCTCACCCTCACCCTCACTCTCACTCTCACTCATTCACTCACTCACTCACTCATCATCATCATCATGCTAACATTTGTATAGCGCCGATATCCAGCTCAGCTCAGCTGCTCAAAGGCGCTTTGTTTTTCCCCTCGTTCACTGGATGTCAATCTCAACGGCACATCGTATTGTCAATCTCAACTCCCTGGGGAGCATACAACTCTTGCAGCCACTAGGCGCACCGAGTTAGTGTGGCATTCCCATCCTTACGAGGTACCCATTTACAGCTGGGTGGACTGGGACGCATAGTCACAGTACTTTGTCCATGTTAACTGCACGTTGCTGTACCCGCAACTGGGTGTTTGCACGTATTCATGGGGCCACCATCTGGTCATGTACCAACGGATCTGTTGGTTCTTTTAAGTGCACAGGGTTGTGTACCGTACACCTCCCCCTCCCTCTCACTCATTCTCACAGTCACTCCACTCTCACTCTCACTCTTACTCTCACTCACTCCCTCCCTCCCTCCCTCCCCTCCCTCCCTCACTCTCTCACTCACACTCATACTCACTCGCAGTCACTCACTAACTCACACTCACTCTCACCTCACCTCACTCCACTCACTCACCACACCTCACTCAGCTCACACCTCACTCTCACTCATTCACTCTCACCCTCCCACCTCACTCCTCACCCCTCCTCCTCACCCTCACTCATTCACTCTCTCCCTCTCCCTCTCACTCATTCCCTCACAGTCACCTCACTCTCCTCACTCTCACCTCACCTCACTCACTCCTCTCACTCACTCACTCACTCTCACTCACTCTCACTCACACTCATACTCACTCGCAGTCACCCACTAACTCAGTCTCACACTCTCACTCCTCACCTCACTCTTACTGTCTCATTCTCACTCACACTCTCACTCTCACCCTCACTCCTCACCTCACCATGGGGCCGTTTAATAATGCGACTAACCCGTCTCTCCCCAGTCGGGAATAACCCGTCAACCCCTAGCTCTTTGCTCGGAGTTGTAGTTGTTTTACCGTGGTAGGGGTTGTATGTTAAGTAATCTCAACAAGTTTCCTCATTCTAGAGTAAACCAATCACCCCTCGCTGTCTCGCGATCTGCTTGAGCTCCCGAGTAGTAGACATTGTGTACACACCTAAGTATATCAATCTCTAATTGGGCCGCCGGCAAGGGAGGTCCTTAGTAAATATCAAGATAGACCTTATCGAGTATACCCTCGACCCACCCGGAACATGCGCAGCATAGTAGGGAGTTTTGTATGATTTGCAACGAGGTGTCGACAAACTCCTTTATATCCCCGCCTTGATACACATCTCCTTTCCCACCGTCAAAGTAATTCCAAGTGTGCCCAGCCGGCACATCAAACCCTACTTTCACCATGATTGAAACTGCGAAGCCCTGCAGGTCTTCCAGTGCCTTATAGAGTTCACCAACAATCATAGGTCTGAGGACACTGATATCTATACTTTCCCCACTATCTGCCAGCTTCTCGGGCAACGCCTTCCCTGGGCTCAACTTTCACGAACATTGTTATACCTAGGTGTGCACAGTCTCTAATTGGGCCTCTACGCTGCTATCCTTAGGAGGCGTCTAAGTTCTTTCTGTAGTCCTTTTCACTCCTCACCCTCACTCCACTCACTCCTCACTCCCTCTCCTCACCTCACTCTCACCACACCCACACTCCACTCTTCTCACTCTCACTCTCACTCACTCACTCCCACCACTCTCTCTCCCTCACTCCTCACCTCACTCACTCACTCACTCTCACTCCTCACTCTTCTCTTACTCTCTCTCCTCTCACTCATTCTCACTCATTTCTCACACCTCACTTACTCTTCTCTCACCTCACTCTCTCTCTCACTCTCACTCCTCACTCTCCTCACTCCTCACTCTCACTCTCACCTCACTCTCACTCCTCACCTCACTCTCTCACGCTTTCACTCATCCACCAGTCCTCCCATCCACTCACTCATCCACCCACCCTCCCACTCTCTCTCACTGCTCACTCTCGAGAGATATGTTGAACACACTGAGGTGTCTATCAGTAAATAATAATAACGCCAAAATCCGAAATCTTTCCACAGCAAGACAGCACTATTTTGGCTATGTGTTGGAATCACGGCCAAATAGTGATGATACCTTATGTTTACGGAAACACCTCTATCTATTCATATCATGCCGTATAACATGTGTGAGGTCATTACTCGGTTTATGATGCAGATGTTATTATCCCTGCTCGCTGACTGAAAGGTTAACGACTCTCATGAAGCAACAGTTGTGTAGCTGTTTTTCTTTTGTCTTACGCCCAATGGAATCTGTGTTGTCAGATAATCCATGTTGATTTCTATTCAGATGTGATGCCATTCCTAATGACAAAATGTGTCTCAGTTTTCAGGTCACCTTGAAAAATACCACGGTTGCTCCCGGAGGGTTTGTAAGTTTGGACGTTCAAGTCGTTGCTGAGATCACAGGCAGCGGAGTGTGGTCCAAGGATGGCAACCCACTCTCAACTATACCAGGCAAGCTGACGATAACAGAACCAGGCCAATATCGCCAGTTGATCCTTTTTAACGTTGGGGCATCGGACGTTGGAAGTTATACTTTCACTATCAATGGGCAGTCCACATCAGCCTATCTCACCGTGGGGGGTAGGTCCTATAGTTCACTTATGCTATAACTGATTTTTTTTCCACCATGAATAGCGTAACGCTACAGCAGTCTTAAGTCCACGTTAAAATATGGAAGTTACGGCCTCCTCAGTGCTACGACTTAGGGCAGTTACGATCTCCTCAGTGCTACGACTTAGGGCAGTTACGATCTCCTCTGTGCTAAAACAGTCGTAACTCTATGTCAAAATATAGGAGCTACGTTCTCTTTAGCGCTACGATCTCTGTGTGGAACGGGGCGCTGTTTTCAGGATAATGCGACTTAAATAGATATTTATTTTTCCTTATCCTGACTCATGCTTATTGCTTGTCTCCCTTTCCTTCCGAATGCTAGTGGAACACTTGAATCCCCTTTTGAAGCTCCCTTCAAAAAAGCGGACGTAAAATCACTTACCAGGAGTCACCTCCCTTGCCAGGTTTTGGCGGGAACGGCGCCACCCGTCTGCCATGCTCTTCACTCTCTCCTGATTCGCCCGAGTGGGCGGTTGTGAGAGCACCTGGTCCCCTATACGGCTTTATATCCTTTTATTATTTAGGCTTTTCTTCTAAATTAGCTGTATAAGGCTTTAGCTAACATTTACCTACAATATTGTACGGAATTAATTCTCAAATTTCTCCGTATTTGTCACGTTTTTACGTGATTATTCACATTGTTTACAATTGATGAAATCTTGTTCTGATTGTAGGTATCGTTTGTCTGCTGTTGATCCACATAACCTATGTCCTAATTGCAAGCCTATATGTTTATCTGACACTCATTGTCAGTTGTGTTTTCACCTGTCTGATATTGCATTTTACAAATATTCATATTATCTGTCTAGACGTGCAAAGGACAGGTCCAGACGAGAATTACACGACATGTCTAAACCGGCTAAGCTTGCAGAGGACCGGCAGTTGGTGTCTGCGCAGATACACCATTCCAGTGGTCTACCGGGGTCGTCTACAGAGGAGGTTGCCGCCTTAGACAACGCTGGCTCGAGGAAGAGGTCATCTACATCTGAGACACCCTCTTCGCAGTCTAAGAAGACTAGGGCATCGTCTTCCCAGAGGAAGAAGGCAGCTACAGCTAAGACTTCGGCGAAGTCTCCACACGGGGCAACGCAGAAGACGAGATCTTTTTCAGCTGAGATCGTCCCTCTGGAAGAAATAGATGTCTACGATGAGCCGCCCATCCTCATCCCTGAGATCACATCTAAGAAGAAGACGAAGACGTCTTCTACAGTGACCACGCAGGACATCCTATCAACGCAGACGTTCGGCACGAAGGTTCTACGCCCTTCGGAAGAAGCCTCATCCATCTCAGATGCGTCGTCAGTACAACAGACAACGCAGACCTTCAACCCGGGCGCCTTTATGCAGCAATTTACCCAACAGATGTTGGATCTGATGGATCAAGAGATTCGTCACAAGACTCCAACCCTCGACAAAGCCGTTCACCAACACGCAGGTTCGCGCGAAGGCATGCACGGTCATCTCTATCTCCACGCAGGTCCCCACGTAGGATGTCACGAACACATTCACGAACGTATGGTTCGCCACGAAGGTCACCACACAGATCACCTTACAGATCTCCTCGTTCAGACGACAATAGAAGACATCCATCCTCAGAGCAGGAAGATGACGGCGGAATTATATGAAGTCATGGATGGCCAACGGTTTGGAACTCGCATCACCCTCTAAGGAGACCAACGAAGCACTATCATACTTGATGGTGAATGATGATATAGACTCACTCACGATGCCACCTATCGACCCAGTCTTAGACGTTCCAGACAACCTCAGCACAGCCTTCAAGAAGGCAACTAAATACCAGACTCAGAGTATTCCGTCGTTCAACGCTAAGAAGTTCTCTCTACACCACATGGAGGCCCAAGAGATAGATGAGAATTATAAGATCATCAACGACACTCGGACTAAAGCTTACAAGATAGAAGATAAAAAGCTGGCACAGTTAGACACAGTAACCAGACGAACCTTCTTCGGCCTAGCCAGGTCAAGAGCTGTCAACGAGACTCTCATCTCGAAGTTTAAGAATTCAACTTCAGAGGAAGATAGAATGGTTTATTCAGCTCTGCTTACACCGAAAAGGATCAACAGTTCATGTCTGAACACCTATCATCCATTTCTGCAGGCTTAACATTATCAAGAAGGCAAGGACTGTTATCTTCATGTACTTTGAGCGAGAAGTTTACCAAGACACTCTACAGAGCCCCTTGGTCAGCAACATCGGATTCCATTTTGCAGGAGGAATTGATGAAGTCGCCAAGGAAGTCGCTAAAGATTCCCGAGAAGTAATGATGATCAAGTCTATCGATACACTGGCCAGTGTAATACGTCAGACCTCCCAACGTTATTCCGGCAAATCGAAGTTTGCAGGCATCCAGAGAGCAAGGGATAAGAAATCAGGCAACGCTAAAGGAAATAAGGATTCTTTTCGTCGCCCATCCGCAGCTCCAAGAGGTAACTACGGAAGAGGTCGGCCCTTTCGAGGCGCCAGAAGTTCCAGACGATGAAATACAGGTTCGGAACGACTGGAGTCTTCCACCCCCAGCCGTTCCAGTACAACCCTCACAAGTGGGTGGACGTCTGCAACTCTACTGGAAGAATTGGGGAATTCTTCAAGACGACTTCGTATCTCAGATTCTACGCACAGGTTACAGGATACAGCTACAAGCAGTACCACCAGTAACAATCAACCCTATGGTTCACAACTACGCTGCAGACCAGAAGGGAAATCTACTAGAAGCCATCACATCTCTACTAGAGAAAGAGGCAATAGAAGAGATAAAACACTGCGTCACACCAGGTTTCTACTCCCCAATTTTTCTGGTATCAAAGAAAATTCAAAGAAATGTTCTGACTCATTTACAACATGAGGAAATTCAACAAAGATTACCTTCTACCACCCGCAAAGTTCAAGATGATACATCTTCCACAGCTACAACAGCTCATACATCTGCTAGACTATCTCGCCAGCATACTATTAGATTTACAGGATGCATACTTACACATCCCGATCCATCAGGAGTCAAGGAAATATCTACGATTCCTGTTCAACGGACGTCATTTCCAATGGAAGGTCCTGCCATTTGGAATATCGTCAGCCCCCTGGTTGTTTATTCGAGTGACAAAGCCCATCAATATATATCTACATCGTCGAGGTCTACGCAGTGCGTTCTACCTAGACGACGGGATTCAAGCTCAGCAAGATCCCAGTCAACTCAGACTGCAACTGAACTTCACCATCAGACTTCTCACTCAACTAGGATGGCTAGTAAATCTCCTCAAGTCGGAACTACAGCCTACTCAGGACTTGCAATTCCTAGGAATACGGCTTATAACAACGAAGAATCGCATTCTCGTTCCAGAGGATCGTTGGATCAAGATTCAACAAATGATCTCTCAAGTTCTACTCTCTCCGTTACCACTACGAGAATGGCAGAGCCTATTAGGTCTCCTCACGTCAGCTCAAGACATGACACGCAGAGGGAGACTACAACTGCGTCCACTACAGAGATTTGTGAACGCCCACTTACACAGTCTGGATCCCTTCGAAATACCAGACAGACTAAAACCATATCTACTATGGTGGACTCAGAAGTCGAATGTTTGCGACGGAAACTACTTAATAGAGCCGGAGTGCAACGTCCACCTCTACACAGACGCATCACTGCACGGTTGGGGAGCCACCTCGACAAACGAAGTGGTTGCCGGGAAATGGTCAAAACAAGAAATGATTCTGCATATCAACATGCTCGAGATGAAAGCAGTAGTAAATGCCCTACTACATTGGTCCAAAGTACTAAGGAACGCAAAATTGATGATCCATACGGACAACTCAACAGTGGCGTTCTACATAAACAAACAATGATCAACAAGATCTTGCAATCTTCTAGACCTCAGCTTTCAACTATTCAACATAATAGACAATCTCAACATTTATGTGAAAGCATGTCACATTCCGGGAGCCAGGAATGTAATAGCAGATGCGCTATCTCGACCACATCAACCATCCCCAACAGAATGGATGTTACATCCACAAGCGTTCAGATGCATCATACAGACGATAGGATCTCCACTCGTAGACCTATTCGCCACGAGATTCAACAATCAACTGGCAACATTCGTCTCTCAATTCCCGATCCGCAAGCATGGGCGACAGATGCTCTAAGCATCCCATGGGAAGGGCTAAACGCGTACGCGTTCCCTCCGCCAGCGTTAATACCACAGGTATTACAGAAAATCAGGCAGACAAACAATCTACAACTGATTTTGGTCGCGCCTTACTGGCCAGCAAGAACGTGGCTTCCCGTTCTTTTACAAGAAATCGGAAAACCAACAATACAACTTCCAGTTTGGCCGAACCTACTAATTCATCCTCACACCAAGCAAGTTCACAAGTATCCCAGATTGTTCCACCTACACGTATGGAACGTATCACGAATTGCTTGTCGAAAAGAGGATACTCCGCCAGAGCAGCGAAAGCAGTTACACTAGCTTTACGCAGATCTACTCGTAACTTGTATGACGACAAGTGGCAAAGCTTTGAGAAATATGCATCGAGGAAAGGTTTCACTGCAGTGAAAGCAACACATCCTCAAGTGGCGGAATATCTTTGTCATCTCAGACAAATGAGGAAATTAAAAGGTTCGACATTATCTACATACCTAGCGGCTCTCAGCTCAGTTATCACTATGAAGACAGGCGTGAAACTGACGAAAGTGCCAGAGTTACTGGCCTTGCTACGCTCTTTTAAACTGGAAGACCAACAAAGGAAATTTAAAGCGCCGGCTTGGGATATCAACGTGGTATTACGACATCTCACCAGTGATGTGTACGAACCACTAGAAAGAACGTCTTACGAATTTCTTACACAGAAAACGCTATTTCCGATCGCATTGGCAACAGCAGCGCGGATGTCAGAAATACATGCGCTGGACTTTGAACGGAAACGGTTTGATACACGTCACAACACGGTTCATCTAGGATTGAGGTGGGATTTCATAGCTAAGAATCAACTGCCAGGTCAACCGGACAGACAATTCCACATCCCAGCATTATCTACAATCCTTGGTCCACAGGATATACAAGATTTATCCTTATGTCCAGTCAGAGCGCTGAAAATCTATCTACAAAGTCTAAAACCAGGAGACAAAAAATTCAAACGCCTTTTCATCCCCATATCGTCAGAGACACCCACAGAGATCTCACGTACTACGATATCAGTTTGGATGAGAGCAATCATACTACGAGCCTACAAGGCAGCAGGACTTGAGCCTCCTCGAGCCTCCAATCCGCACGAAGTTAGAGCACTGGCATCTACACTCGCTCTACATGGAAACTGCTCAATATCCACGATCATGGAAGGGTGTTTTTGGAAATCGGAGACAGTATTTGCTAACCACTACCTCAGAGACTTTGCTACCGAGGACGTCTCTGGTATCCACCAGTTTGGACCTCTGGTTGTAGCTCAACAGCTGACGGTCCCTCAAAGGCGCTGAGATGTATCTCGCCCTTTTACCGCATGTCATGCAAAGCTCGTACTCCAAGGAATAGAGCTTATAGTCCATGTACACGTCTAGAACAGACTAGCATGAATATTGGATTCTGTACTAGTAAGGAATTACTTGTACGTGGATAGGGTCTCTCCTCCACTTGATACAACATCAAGAGTTGGATTTATTTAAATCCACATGTACGGTTACAGAAGAGTTTGATATATTGTGGTCCCCACAAATTACCAAATTATATCGACATATGGATCAACAGTAGCAATGCCATTTAAAATTCCCATGGGGGTATATAGGACGTAAATTCATCACTAAGGAATCCAGAGGTGGCTTGACCCACCACCTATACCGTCGGATTCTACAAGCAATAAGCATGAGTCAGGATAAGGAAAAATATGTAATTTTCTGACTAAAATTGATATTTTATACTTATCCTGACTCATGAGGTAAGACCTCAAACCTCCCTCAAGGCACTCTGGATTTCCCAGTAAACCAGTGTGTCGGGTTATAATACGGAGAGAGTGAAGAGCATGGCAGACGGGTGGCGCCGTTCCCGCCAAAACCTGGCAAGGGAGGTGACTCCTGGTAAGTGATTTTACGTCCGCTTTTTTGAAGGGAGCTTCAAAAGGGGATTCAAGTGTTCCACTAGCATTCGGAAGGAAAGGGAGACAAGCAATAAGCATGAGTCAGGATAAGTATAAAATGTCAATTTTAGTCAGAAAATTACATTTTGTACATGGCAAGGTAATACTATGTTTCCTTTTGTTGTTAATGTTCGGATCGCCCGGGCTATAATGCAGTTAGGACTGACACATCGAAATCACCCATTTCTGTTGAACAGGATTTTCTTTTTAAATTACGATAATTCTGTACTTGACATGATCAACATAGACCAAAACACTTGAGATACAACGATATTTATCATTTAAATCTGCGAGCTTGACCACCCAATGCCGTTAGTCGCCTCGTTTAACATCCATGGCGTCAGGTATAATCTGAAACACATCTCTGTGTACAGATGACTCCCCTAACAGTTTCAGGTCCGGTTGATGGTAACTGGGTGGAGTGGTCACAGTGGAGTGACCCCGGCTGTCCTGCCACGTGTGGTCCTACAGCCAGACGCGACGTCATCAGATCCAGGACCTGTAGTAACCCAGCTCCTAGCAATGGTGGATTTACCTGTGCTGGTCAAAATAGCCAAACTGAAACCCGAGAGTGTGGACCATCTTCCTGTGGTATGTACATATCCAACGTTAAGGGTTACTATACTCATTCCTCATATACTTAGATACATCCACTCAATAATTCCTCGGCATGACATTTCTCCAATATGGCTGTTTGTATAATCCGTTTCACGTAGTTCAGGACCAATCAGCGTCCATGCCGTTGGTTTTCTGTGATGGTCAGAGTGATATTGGATTACCACCTGAGAGAGTTTCATTGTCCTTGTAGCTGTTGCAGTCAACGGGAACTGGGGGGAGTGGTCACCATGGAGTGGTCCCTCCTGTCCTGCCACGTGTGGTCCTACAGCCAGACGCGATGTCACCAGATCCAGGACCTGTGATAGACCAGCTCCCAGCAATGGTGGCGCTTCCTGTCCTGGTCAAAATAGCCAAACTGAGTCTCAAGTTTGTGGACCATCTTCCTGTGGTATGTACGGAATAATCGTATCTTCATATCTTTATCTACATATACTTTACGGAATTATATGCATTAAGACTTAATAAACCCGTGAAGATCCGGGTTAGAACCCAGCAATCCATGTTTAACCAACCTGTGCTTGTCGATCGATGCTCATGCTGTTGGATTGTTTGAATCAGACTCGATTATTTTCAGACCTCCGCCATATAGCTGGAATATTGCTAAGTGCGGCGTAAAACTAAACTCACTCATCAACTTACTCACTCACTTACTCATTCACTCCAGATTATGGATCTATGGAAATCTATAAGCCACGTTGACATGTTTCATGTTTGGCAGTCACTTGGCCATGTCCCTTGCGTCTCTACGTGTGTATCGATAATTGCCTGTTATATATATACTAAACGCTGGGGACAAGCCCCTGATATACATTAGAAGACTGTGTACACTACACATCATACATTTCACTATTGTTTGTTGGAGTTCCTCACATAAGGTATCATTCGTAATTTTTAACTGAATACATGCATAACATCCCTCGAAAAATGTGCCGGCTTTTTGCTTCGATTTTGCTGTAAATTACACCAAGTTTGATTGGTGTCATTCGGAAAGTTTTGAAACAACTACTGATCGTGGAATAATCAACTCATTTAGAAGTAAGAAATGGAAAGACGTTGTAGGCTACCAAATTCAGCTACAGAAGACATATAGTCGAATAATGTTGATGCCATGTTGCTAATATTGACGACATTGTTGTTACAGTGGCGTCCACCTTTACAAACACACTGTCAGATCAGACGCGATCCGTCGGTGGACAGGTGATATTCCAGGTGGATCTTGCTCAGTCAGGTGTCACAGGTGTCTGGACAAAGGATGGTGCCACGATAACGGCAGATGGAACTCACCAGATCGTTTCAAATGGCAATGCTGCGATTCTCTATATCGCTAATCTTCAAGTGTCCAACTCTGGACGGTATTCTTTCACAGCTAATGGGGAGACCATCTCAGCCCAGCTGACAGTTAACGCAAGTACGTGTCTGGTTTTGTATCGTAGTATACGGTTGCTAAGGTCCTTGTGGATATAGACAGACTGTTGATGAGTTGTGTTATAAGGTTAAAAAGGCATTTGTTATACAAAAAAACGTACCACATATTCGTTAGTGAGGATTACTGTGATTGCATCAGAAAAAGCAATGCTATTACGGCTTGGTAATAAAGTAAGGGATCAAACAACAGGATAAATCTTATTGACAGAACAGGAAAGTCCATTTAGTTATATCGGCGACGCGTAAGCGGAGCCGATATAACGTTAAATTTGCGGCTATATAACCACCGGTATACGTCCCCAATTCGTCAAACACAGTACAGTTATCCCCATTCTAATTCAACTCGTTTTACGCTGTTTTTTCGTGAAAGAAATTCATTATTTAAACCAGGTCAAAGTTCCTCTAGGTCAAAGGTTAATCATATCACTCCTTCAACTTACACCATCGCCAGAGAAAGTAGTTCCCTTTTCAAACTACACACGTTTATTATGTGCACACAGACTAAATTTGACAATGATGAATAGATCATAGTATTATAGATAAAATGGACGGTATTATGATGAAACCGCCCTCTAGTTACAGAAATGAGCGGCCCGCTGATTCCTCAACTACGGGCCATTATCAGTTCTGTTGTCAAATGACGTCATAGCAGGTGACGTCACGCTCCATAATGACGTCATAAACCTTGTTTCATGATCTAACAGTGTTGGGTCAACAGCCCGTTGCGAGTAAGTTGTTTGAACTTAAAATTAAATTTATGATACTGTTTTGTCTTTTTTAACACAAATTCCACCCATTTTAGCTGGATAGGGGAGTTAATTGACCAATGGCTTCTGCAAATGACAATGTCCTGCGAAACAGCGTTACCCCAATAGTGTAGGGATACATTCAAAGGTTCTTGGTGAATCGGTTTTCAAATTGCGACCGTATATGCTGATTATACGGTCGGAAATTTATAGCATTGACCAATCAGAACTCGTGTTACATACTAAGTTGAATTTCTGGACCCATCACATAAAGGAGAACATAATGACACGAAGACATTCTTGAAGCCACAAAACGTAACGGGTCCATACAGGGTCAGTGATTATAGAAAAGTCCCCTAATAGTTGCAGGTGCAGTCAATGGGAACTGGGTGGAGTGGACACAGTGGAGTGACCCCGGCTGTCCTGCCACGTGTGGTCCTACAGCCAGACGCGACGTCACCAGATCCAGGACCTGTACTAACCCAGCTCCCAGCAATGGTGGAAGTACCTGTCCTGGTCAAAACAGCCAAACTGAAACCCGAGAGTGTGGACCATCTTCCTGTGGTATGTACATATCCGACGTTGAGGGTTACTTTACTCATTCCTCATATACTTAGATACTTCAACTCAATAATTCCTCGGTATGACATTTCTCCAATATGGCTGTTTGTATAATTCGTTTCACGTTCTTCAATATCCATCAGCGTCCATGCTGTTTATTCTCTGTGATGGTCCAGAGTGATATTGGATTACCAACTGAGAGGGTTTCATTGTCCTTGTAGGTGTTGCAGTCAATGGGAACTGGGGGGAGTGGTCACAGTGGAGTGGTCCCTCCTGTCCTGCCACGTGTGGTCCTACAGCCAGTCGTGACGTCACCAGATCCAGGACCTGTTCTAACCCAGCTCCCAGCAATGGTGGCGCTCCCTGTCCTGGTCAAAATAGCCTAACTGAATCTCAAGTGTGTGGACCATCTTCCTGTGGTATGTACACCGCCATTATTTTGGACGTTGGCTATTTGTCCACATAACGCTTATGCCATGTTACAACTGACATAGAGTAAGCTGCACCATGCATCATTTACGCGCTGACTAACTGATTGACTTCTTCTCGATTTCCCTACTGATCACACTCAAAGTCCCAGTGTGGTGCAGCTACCAGTGGCGTATTCACACACATACCAGGCGTTGAGCTGGCGTACTGTCTTGTACTGTATGTGAGTGAGTGAGTTTAGTTTTTCACCGCTTTTAGCATTATTTCAGCAATATCACGGCGGGGGACACTAGAAATGGGTTTTACACATTGTACCCATGTGGGGAATCGAACCCGGGTCTCCGGCGTGACGAGCGCACGCTTTAACCACTAGGCTACCCCAACGTCCCTTGTGCTGTATGTACGCAGGGTAGCACAGCGGTTGAGGCTTTCGCTCGTCTGATCAAATATCTTGCTGTCACAAGACCAGAATACAGTTTAACCTTTTTCACTCAAACCTAGCTACTCTGTAAATAATCATTCACCAACTGTTCAAGCGTCACTGATGTCTCCAGACTACACCAATTTGTGAATACGTTCTCTTTTGACTCGCATGAAACGTTCTTTTGCAATGTCTCTTGTCACCTCAGTATCTCTTAGTCACCCTAGTTTCACCAGTGACTCTTGTCACCTCAGTATCATTAGGATAGAACATGCACCCTAGTTTCACCAGTGACTCTTGTCACCTCAGTATCATTAGGATAGAACATGCACCCTAGTTTCACCCTTGACTCTTGTCACCTCAGTATCATTAGGATAGAACATGCACCCTAGTTTCACCAGTGACTCTTGTCACCTCAGTATCATTAGGATAGAACATGCACCCTAGTTTCACCAGTGACTCTTGTCACCTCAGTATCATTAGGATAGAACATGCACCCTAGTTTCACTAGTTTCACCATTGACTCTAGTTTGTCACTTGCCACGTCAGTATCATTAGGATAGAACATGCACCCTAGTTTCACTTGTCAGTGACTAAGGATTGTCACCCTAGTTTCACCAGTGATCATTACGTAAAGGACAGAACATACACCCTAGTTTCACCAGTGACTCTTGTCACCTCAGTATCATTAGGATAGAACATGCACCCTAGTTTCACCAGTGACTCTTGTCACCTCAGTATCATTAAGACATTACATGCACCCTAGTTTCACTTGTGACTCTTGTCACCTCAGTATCATTAGGATAGAACACGCTAACCACATGGGCGTTTCACGTTATTAGAATTTCAAAAGTTATCTATGGCCGACAAGTGAGTATGATTACCGGTGGTTTTCGAGAAAATGCCTGCTTACTGTCGAGGAAATGATTTGTAGATGTTGCAATATGTTTTAGACCCGTTGAATGCCGCTGCCGATTGAATCTAGCCCTACATAGGTGCTGTCAACGTGGCTGGAATTAATAAACGAATTTAAAAGGTTTTCGGTATCTTGGGTGATCCATGGTTTTGGCTTGAATTGCGAAGGTAGCTGTTTTCGGTGAGTCGTGGCGTATAACTTTTTAAAGTAATGATCCGATTGTGACCATTTATAGCTCATTTTATAGGAAATCATCTCGCTTTCGATCCGTAGGCCTCGACGGGGCCTTTAAAATAGTTTACGTGGTGAAATCTAACTTTGATCGCGGAGGAGGTGGTTCCGTCGTTACATCCCGTTCCTTTTATATAGTACTAGGGTAGGGTCTATATACCTATATGTGTTTCTAATGTTGTTTCTAAGCGTGACACGCCCCCTGTGACGCTAACATCATATTTGAGGTGTGCGTACAGCAGCCTGAAATACCCTAATGTCTGCTGTGTACGCTCTGTGGGACGTATGGCACTCATATCCATTTATCATACTAAATATTTCCTTACAATCCTAGTTTCTTTATTAACCTTCTTCGATCAAAGATCATCGATTACATTAGACTGATGGTAATTTTAAACATTTTAACATATTTAATATAGTATTGAAGTCTTAATTATTGACTGCTTAAAAATATACGAATACTATTAACATTTTCTTTCGCATATCAAGGCACTATTGTCTTCGGCCTGCGTAACATAACTATCCCAGTGGGCAGGCCAGTGGCCTTTACAGGTCACCGTGACCCAAACCAGGCCTCACGGGGACGTGGCAGCGTGATGGCGTCATCATCACTGGGGCACAGGATACGTGATCTCTCCCCCTGGTTCCACCCAGGTTCTCTTCTTCACCAACCCTCAGGTATCGGACTCCGGACGCTATACGTTCACTGTTCGTGGGGAGGTGACCAATGCATGGTTAACAGGTACACATGTACTTAAAGTATAGAGTTGACGGTTGCTGACCTTGTCTAATAACATGCGTATATATCTTACACACAGATCTAAACAAGTTGATACTTGTTTGAGTGGCATTTTAGAAGTTGAGACGTATTAAATATAGAACAAGTTTTATGGATAGCAACCTTTATTTCGTGAGTGCGACGTTTCGATACAGATTCTTGTACCATTGTGTGCTTGACAACGGTACATATCTGTATCGAAACGTCGCACTCACAAAATAAAGAAGTTGTTATCCATAAAAACTTGTTCTAAGTTGATACTGTTACGATGGAGCAGCCCTTCAACATTGTTAGCATTGCAGATAACATATATATGTCGCAATGATATTTTGTTTATGCATCTTTTGATAAAGATATGAAATGACATGTCATCAAGTTCTTATTCTTAGATTAATTAGTTTGTCTGGCATGAGAATGTTTATCATACAGATTTACACAATATCTTACTAATTATCAAACTTGCTTGATATAATGCAGTGAATATTGACGATTCATCATCACTTCTCTTAGCAGTTTAATCATTTTGCCGCAAAATCTCAATCTTCAAACCTGAGTCAACGTTTTCTTACAATGTTGACTAGGATGTTTGGTATCCTGGTGTTTAAAGCTCTCGCTGGGTTCAACTCTCCAATGAGCACACTTTGAGAAGCCAATTTTTATGTTCATCGCAATATTGCCAAAAGAGGCTTAAAACCACACTCACTCACTTTAATAGTTGATTGACTAAACTGCACCCTGGCGTCATGGAAATCATATGAACAGGAAGCAAAATGGTAAACTTACTTCCTTCGAATAACTATAATAATAACTATAACAATAATGCTTGAAGAAATCTCTCACTCTCCTTCCAACTCCTACACCTGGATGAAGAAGGTGTATTCTAGTTTACTGGTCTAATGTTCCGTATGTAGTTTCATCAATGAAAATAAGAAATGGTACACCTCATTCAACGCCAGGCCTGGTCAGGCCTGTTCCTTAAAAACTCCAATGAATTTAAGATTGTTACAGAAAATGTTAATAGTTAAGTGCGAAAACAGTAAGTACAGTAACTATGCAAAATTCGCAAAATATAAACTGACGCAGAATATTTCCGGTTTACAGTAAATACCGTATCCACTCAGTTTTCAAACGACTTTTGTTCTCGAATATTGTGTTACTGTGACAGTCAACACCATTCTAGACACTGTAGTAAAAATCTTCGCATGAATGAAAGTGGTATCTTCAAAGGTATAACAATATCTGCAAGTTCTTAAAGTTTTTAGAAAATGAATATGATTTTGTGCTTGTTTCGAAACCTTTCTTCAATTCAGAAACACATGCATTCCAAGGTTAGCTTGTTATCCAAACATCAATTCTTTTAACTTTCTAAGGGAAATTTCAAATGTTATATCTTTAGATAATACCAAATTGTTCAAATATCATTCGTTGTTAGTTTTAAGGAACATCCACATCTTGAAAGTATTTTTGAACTATGGGCCTATGGTGTCTCAATCTTCGATGACAGTCTGACTAGTGGCAGAATTATCAAGATAACGTGTAAAAGTAGTTTATTCGGACCACGGACCTATGCAGGACACAATGATACGGAGATATTCCTGAAGACGTTCAATGCGAAGCGTCCATACAGGGTCAGTGATTACAAAACCATAATTAAATAGTTTCAGACACAGCAGTAAACGGGAGCTGGGGAAGTGGTCACAGTGGAGTGGTCCCTCCTGTCCTGCCACGTGTGGTCATACAGCCAGTCGTAATGTCACCAGATCCAGGACCTGTTCTAACCCAGCTCCCAGCAATGGTGGTGCTTCCTGTCCTGGTGATAACAGTCAACGTCAGACCGAACTGTGTGGACCATCTACCTGTGGTATGTACGGAATGATATTGTCTTTAACTCTTTCAACACCAGTCAACCAGAGGCATTTACTGCCATGACACCGAGTTCCCAGAGACTCTGAGGTCATAGATGAAAGCCTATGTTTATGAAGGAAATTATAAGCTTGTAAAACGTTATTGCTACTATATCTCATACACCATTTAAAAAAGATCTAATCCCACTGTTGATAAATATGAAGTTTATTTTTATAATATAATTCAAATAATACAACTACAACTTACATAAATTTAGTTTTTAATGCATGCACGCTTACATTTATAATCTCCAGATCAACCACGAAAGAAGAAAAACTATGGCGATTTATTTTCCATTTGTGACATGTCATAACCTTCTGTGCCTTTTCTTTTATACCAACTATTATGATAAGGGTTTTGGGTCCAAGTGATGGTTCCGGTGAAACCCTTTTCTAACTGGCGTGCTGGTCTGTTTGGGGAAGTAACTCAGCAAAGAGTCTGAAGTCACAAGAAGCTAATCACAATTTTATTTTACGAGAACGGAATAACATGGGGTGGCTACAGCGAGTCGGTACAACCCATGGGCTGAGGGCTAGAGCTGACCTGTGTTGGGCGTCAAAACCCTACTGACAAACGAATAGAGATAGTGACTATTTACCTAAAATTGAAACAAGGAACAGAACATGATTCGCTGACTGATACAAAATGGGTGTAACCTACAATAACCAATGAAATACAGAATATAACAAAATGGGGTGTGTCCTACAAAACAACTTCATTGACCAGACAGCGGGAGTATTTTAATCCTGCTAATCCTATTTCAACTGGCACTAATCTCGTTGGCACTTTTTACTTAGCTTGCTGCAAACAATATATGTGTAGCTTATTTTGGTTTGTGTGGAATACTTATAAAAGATACTTTTTCCTGCAAATAAAATTGTTTGTTAGTGCATTGTAAAAAGGTGACTTTATAGTATGAAGTCATGACCTGGAATAATGCATGGGCAGTGAATGACACAATGTACATGATTTAGTAAGTATCTCGTGTTAGGATAGAAATGTTATGTATAAGCAAATATATATATACATGTGCTTGTGCATTTAACAAGTGCATTGGTTTTGAACTCATACATGTACATATTTTGTTTTGAACCATTTGTTCAGGTACCTTGTTAATTTGGCTGATTTTGATAGTTTCCAACATTTTAAACATCTTAATTGTTTAGGGATTTTGTTTAATTTTATTTTATTTTAGCTTTGGTTTATTTCGATTTATTAGTTTGAGTTTACTTCACTCAAATTTTGGTTCATTTCGCTTCAGCTCAGCCTGTAGGTTTGGCTGAGGTTCGGTTTAATTCGCTTCCCGTTTCGCCTTGGTTTGTTCGTTCCGCTTCGATACGGTATATTTCTCGCCCTCATTTCGCGCCGATTAAGTTTGTCTTGCTTCGGTACGATTTATTTTCGCTTTTGTTTCTGCGTTGGTTAAGTTTGTTCCGTACGGTGTATTTCGGTTTCGTTTCGCGTTAATGACACAGTCTGCTCTATGCTAAGGGTCGTGATTGCTCAAAATCAGACACGTGACCCGAGGCAGCCAATCATATTACGGCAATGAATGTCGTCCTCGTAAACGAAAACTTTTAGATTTAGACGAAAGTGTTGGGTAAAGTAATGCTATTCTGAACATATTAAGCAAGGAAATCGCCACCTATACGTAATTTTGGAACTTATTGGACGTATAAGCGGTGGGGTAGCCTAGTGGTTAAAGCGTTGGCTCGTTACGCCGAAGACCCGGGTTCGAATCCCCACATGGGTACAATGTGTGAAGCCCATTTCTGGTGTCCCCGCCGTGATGTTGCTGAAATAATGCTAAAAAGCGGCGTAAAACCAAACTCAGTCAGTCAGTCAGTATTGGACGTATCGTGCTAGGTTATGACCTGTGACAAAAATGCTTCATGCATATATTTTCGCATTAAACATCGTGTCCGAGCGTGAAGATTGAGGCGGAGAGCCGAGATGTCACTTGTCAGTGACTTGACTTACATTACATGATCGCACAAAAGATGGAAATAGTAATTTTATACGTACGTTTGACAACTTTTATGAATGCTGTTGTTGATTTTAGTCATTAGTGTATTCAATTTATTTAATGATTTCCTCGAAACATCGTTACTTTGACAGTATTATTGTGGACCCGCTGCCGAAGCATGTGTCCGACAATCGTTGGTTTCAATAACATTGCGAAATATAGTTTACAATTTTAATTCTGCCGATAATACTAGTATATGATCAATTGAATTTGAATAAGTGTTTTCAGATATTGTGAATTGTGATAGATTTAGTATATGAATCATAAGTCAGGTAGGTTTTAAAATTATGTCTTTTTTGACGTGACTACTCGCCTGGCCGATTAATCGGCCTCCGGTGTCTGGGTACTCATAACGTTGTGGCCGATTATTCGGCCTGCGGTGTTGAATGGGTTAAATATGAATTCTACTGAACTACTAGTATTGGTTTTAGTGACTATGATGAAACGCCCCCTGTAAATGCACGTATGTATATGGTCGATTCCAACAAAAAGTGTACACAGCTGGGTACAAGGTGTCCAAAAAATTGCTTGCAGCTTGTAATTCTTTTTACCAATGTAAAGTCAACATATTCGCCTCTTATGAAAATCAGTTGCCATCACTAATCTCTAAAAGTGACAAGTTGGTGGATCAGTGAAGTTGAAGGCTCATTTTCTAAATTACCTACAAATACCAACATCATACCTTGTATATCCTGTGATTAGATGGGTTATATGTTGCCTAACATCCAAATTCACTGTTGTTCTACATGCACAATATGTTAATGACTATAGAAACTCTGAAGCCATATCATGGTTTCTTTCATGTTTTATAACCTCAAGCTTTACGAAAGTAGAACCATTTTGGTACCTTTGTTTGATGTAAGTGAGATAGCACCACTAAGCGTTCTTTTCACAAACAAATCATTATTACATATCTATCTTATTCATCTGAGAGACAACGGGTGAAACTTTCGGTAAGTACAACAAACAATGCATCAATAACCACATTTTGGGTTGAAGATAAAGTTTACTTGCAGGTAACACATATCACGTAATTCCTTGTATTTCATAAATGTTTATATATGTCAAACTAAATCGTAGCTGGTTTATTAAAACATCGAACAGTTGGAAATTGTTTTCTAATGAAGACTGTTTACAACCAATTTAAAGCTTTCTCTCTGTTTTGTCGGAAAGTAGCAATGTCATTTTATCTGATGGAAATATACTTCTCATCAAACGTTTAGGCTCACTTAAAACACTCACTATATGGTATATATATGTACTGTCACATCGAAAGATTGATTTCTCCTCTAACTTGGGGAACCAACTGCAAACCTTATGCATATGAATTGCACGAAGAACATGCATCAAATTGCTGAAAAGCATGTGAAAATATCGAACATGTGAACAGCTGCGTTTTGGTGTAAAATAATTTTTCAAAATTCGCCAATTTTCACTGATTTTTATCATTTATTGAACTAATGACACTGATCGTTTTAACGTTACGAATTTGTTTTACAATACATCAGTTCATGTGTGAACAGTACCTTTAAACAGTATGGAATAGTTTGCAAACTTTAGTTTAAAACAGTCGCCGCAAGTAAGTGGCTATATTTACACTAGTGAGTCTAAATGGTTGATGAGAAGTATAGAACTTGAACTAAAATCATTACATCAGAAATTTTATTTACCAAATGTTTCGACTGACATTTGTATTCAAAGAAAGCACATCACACATGTTCAAAACGCTTGAACTATTACCATATACCATATATAATTATGTACAGATAAACATGTCACTAAAACAATCAATACAGTATACGTCCTACTGAACTATAACTCAAACATGCTGTGTACACTTTTCGTTGAATCGACCATATGCATATTGAACTGTTTATAGTTACTGTATCTTTTCGTAGTTATATGTCAAAGATTATTTGGTGAATAGCCAAACCGTGGTTGATAACGGACAGCGTTAAACTGTAAGTTTGTCTCAGCAATGTGTGATATTTCTAACTGCCTAATGTTCTCTCTTGAAGGATCCTCTGTAATATCCACACCGCTTCAGAACGCTACAGGACGTGTAGGGGACCAGCTAGTGTTCCAGATCCAGCTGACACAAACGGGTCTTACAGGGGTGTGGCAGAAAACGATGGCGCCATTCCTACTGATTCCCGAATTCACATAAGAAACACTGGCAGCATCTACCTGTACATCAGTAGCCTCCAAGTGTCAGACAGCGGCAAATACACCTTCACTGTGGGCGGGGAGACGACGACAGCCTTTGTCACTGTTACATCAGGTAAACAGCGAACCATCCAAATCTCTCTGGTATTTACCTTGACAGAATAAAAGTGAAACTGAACACAGAACGCTGTTGTCAAAATATATCTACACTTTCCCAGAAGGGAGAGAGAGAGAGAGAGAGAGAGAGAGAGAGAGAGAGAGAGAGAGAGAGAGAGAGAGAGACAGAGACAGAGACAGATAGAGACAGAGAGACAGAGAGCAGGCAGATGCAAGTGATATGTGTTGAGTACTCTCGAAGCTCCGGTCTGTACTATGCCCGTTTCTTAGTGTCCATGATGATGCTTGCTGTGATCATTGCTGTTTTAATGATTGTCTAATTTACTTGAAAGACGAATAGCCTTTCATTCAACTTGATGAAAAAAATAATAATAACAATAGTCAATTTGTCATGCGCATTTCTCCATGCACAATGCATGCTCTGTATTACTATTACCCCGGATAACCCAAGCTGCCTCTTAAGCGCCAGAAGGTTATCGTCAAATGACTTTATTCCAACAGGTACCCATTTTCTGCTGAATATACAGAGGCAATTTTGAACAAACTCACTTGCCTTAGGTGAGACCACATGTATCACATGTGCTTCGTTGTGGGCAGGACTGAAGTCCTAGACACTCTCAGGAGTCAAGCTGCCAAACACGGTCACACATGTAGGGACTTCATCTGATTAGTGACCTGAGCTCTACGCACAGGGCCACACGCCACCACAAACTCTGATTAAAATCTGATTCTTCATTACAAACTATCCCCAAAACCACATGTCGGAATCTTACTCAACAGCTGCCAATGATGTCAAGCGCTGCACTTAGACGTGAAGAGTTGTGTTCCTGCCAATATCGTGTTGTCATCAAGGATTTGTTGTCCTGAACGCATAAGATCATATACTGTTTCAGACACAGCAGTCAATGGGAACTGGGGGGAGTGGTCACAGTGGAGCGGTCCCTCCTGTCCTGCCACGTGTGGTCCTACAGCCAGTCGTAACGTCACCAGATCCAGGACCTGTACTAACCAAGCTCCCAGCAATGGTGGCGCTCCCTGTCCTGGACAAAGAAGCGAAACTGAAAACCGACAGTGTGGACCATCTACCTGTGGTATGTACACCGACATTATTTTGGACTTTGGCTATTTGTCCACATAACGGTTATGCCATGTTACAACTGACATAGAGTAAGCTGTACCATGCATCACTGACGAGCTGACTGACTGATTGACCTACTACCTAAAGTACTCACTGACCACACTCTCAACTTCAGAACGAAGAGTAGTGTAAAGCTACATCTGGTGTATCCACACACATATCAGTCGTTCAACTTGATTACTGTCTGTTACCTTTATAGATAAGGTTTGTTGGGAAGTTGTAGTTGGTAACTATTGTAATCCCTCTTGTAGGAATATCATAGTTCTTTGAATTATAAAGTCTTTGTTCATAACAGGATTGTGTTTATGCTTAATTTCATGTACATTTAAGATCATGTACTGTTTCAGACACAGCAGTAAATGGGAACTGGGGGGAGTGGTCACAGTGGAGCGGTCCCTCCTGTCCTGCCACGTGTGGTCCTACAGCCAGTCGTAACGTCACCAGATCCAGGACCTGTACTAACCAAGCTCCCAGCAATGGTGGCGCTCCCTGTCCTGGACAAAGAAGCGAAACTGAAAACCGACAGTGTGGACCATCTACCTGTGGTATGTACACCGACATTATTTTGGACTTTGGCTATTTGTCCACATAACGGTTATGCCATGTTACAACTGACATAGAGTAAGCTGTACCATGCATCACTGACGAGCTGACTGACTGATTGACTTACTACCTAAAGTACTCACTGACCACACTCACTGACCACACTCACTGACCACACTCAGATTCAGAACGAAGAGTAGTGTAAAGCTACATCTGGTGTATCCACACACATATCAGTCGTTCAACTTGATTACTGTCTTTTACTTTTGTAGATAAGGTTTGTTGGATAGTTGTAGTTGGTAACTATTGTAATCCTTTTGTAGGAATATCATAGTTCTTTGAATTATAAAGTCTTTGTTCATAACAGGATTGTGTTTATGCTTAATTTAATGTACATTTAAGATCATGTACTGTTTCAGACACAGCAGTAAACGGGAACTGGGGGGGGAGTGGTCACAGTGGAGTGGTCCCTCCTGTCCTGCCACGTGCGGTCCTACAGCCAGTCGTAACGTCACCAGATCCAGGACCTGTTCTAACCCAGCTCCCAGCAATGGTGGCGCTCCCTGTCCTGGTGTTAACAGTCAACGTCAGACCGAACAGTGTGGACCAGCTACCTGTGGTAAGTACGGAATGATTTCATCTTCATTATATTAACTCTATGGAATTAGTTTTGGTGACAATGCTGAGACACTCCCGTAACTGCACGTCTGTGTATATATGAAAGCCCGGAGACTCGTGATGCTGAGTGTGGGCCGTGGACGGGTTGTATGTGCGCCAGTGACCTGTTATCCATACTTCATTATAAAATATCCACTCATCTAACATATGTTGTGGAAGCTGCTCTGGCTGAGTGGGTTAGATGACTGACTTTGTGTGCTGGTGATTACGTGCCTGAGAGTGTGGGTTCGAATCCCGGATGGACTCAACCTAACAAAAGTATTGGAATCGATACTTTACGGAGAAAGTGTAATCTCAAATATAACATATGTTGTATGTGAGACTGCCTTCTGTCATGGAAGTTCCGCTCAAGTGGCATACAATGTAGACTGTCAGATTGGAAGTGCAATATTGCCCTGCAGTAATACGTGTATTCAACAGATCAATATTTTCTGTGAGTATGATTTTACGCCGTTTGTAGCAATATTCGAACACTATCACGGCGGGGGGCACCAGAAATGGCCTTGACATGTTATACCCAGGTGGGTTAAGTGTGACGAGAGGGCGCTTCAACCACAAGGTTACCAAAGATTACAGTCTTGTCTGATTTACAGTACATTGCCATCAAGGATTCCATGGGAGGAATCTTCATAAGCTGCAGACCAGGGGCTCCTATTACGAAGGAAACCTTTACTAAGGTTAACCTTAACTCCCCTTCTTTAACATTGCACTAAGGTTATCTTAGTGACTTACGATCACCTTAGTGCTTTGTGAAAGGAGGACCTGCCTGGATTAGCTTTTGAATCTTCAACAGAGCAGGATTACGTAATTTGATCTTGACATTTCTGGTCGTTACAGTTGGTGGTGGAGTGTCTGAGTGGGGCAACTGGAACAACCCCCCCCCTGCCCCGCCACTTGCGGTCGTGCCGTCTACCACATGCAAAAACGCTATAGAACATGCAACACTGGCAACACCTGCACGGAGACGTTAGAACAGAGCCAGAGAGTTATTTGTATGGACAGTTTTTTGTCCAGGTGAGTGAAAATTGTCAATTCTTTAAGAATATGCATACTCATGTCAACGCGCCGAGACAAGTTAAACTAAATATTTCAGTTACACACGTATATCCTATCCCTCCACAGAAATATGGAATCATCGAAGGGACATTGTCGCATTGATATTTTGTCGCCAGTACAAAAACAATCAATAATATTAAAACATACATTAAATCGAAGCAATGTGACGTCACATTTGAACCATTTTGTCGAATTAGATATTTTACTTTTACTCTAAACAAAGAGCGTTCATGTGATAAAATAAATAACAAAATCAGAGTAAGACAATTTTCTGCTTTGATGTGTATAATTGGACCTGTGACGTCTTTGGGTTCTCTTTGTAAACTCGTTCTAGGTTATTCTGAGAATTTAACTGATAAAAGGATTCAGACATAAAATATAATATGCATAAATATACAAAATGTAATATACTGAAAGCCATTAAAAATGCAATTTGACATTCATACTTTCTTTACTCACACTAATTTCAACATATATAAACCTAACTGGCAGATATGTTTTAAGTGAACATCTGTGAATAATTTCATCTGAAAATGTCCAGTCAACAACAACATCAGTGACGCAACAACGACATCACACAAAGGAGGGGTCACTTGCAGTCAATATCGTGCGTGTCCACCGTGCGCTGCAAGACATGCAGTTGGATGGTCTGCAGCCTGTTATGGTCTGTGGTCTGATCATGACATCACCCCCTCCAAAACGATCATGTTCAAGGACACAGTTTGGCGCAAGTCTTTCTCCTTTACGTCGATAAATCTGTTGACGTCCATCTGCAAAGGATAAGTTAAACCTGGATTCATCTGAAAAAATGACATCTGGCCATGTCCTGTTGCCAAGATTGGCCCCATTTGCTGCCCGTCGCTGTCTGGCAAGTCTGTGGCGATGCAATAAGGTTGGACCACGGTACGGGTGACGACACCGGATGTTGAAGGCAGCAAGGCATCCTTGCACCTTTTGGGCGCTGAAATGACGTTGACTTGTCCCAATTGTCCTCCTTGCCTAATCATCAGCTGTTTGTCCGATCGCAAGTGTGAAACTCGGATATTGCGGTTTTGTCGAGCTGTGATCACAGGTGGTGCACCAGGTCGCTGACGATCAGCAACACTTCCGGTAGCCCGAAAACGTTGTCTGAATCGACTTACAGTGGATGGATGCACATTTAAGTGCCTGGCAATCATCACATCTGAAGCACCTTGGCTGACCATACCGATAACCTGATTCCTTTCGTCTTGCGTCAAGTGTGGCATTTTCTCAAAGTGATTGAGTTCCACAATTCCTTGTGCTTTTACAGGGCCTGGATGCAAGTAATGCATGTGCACAACGTGATTCATGAATGTGGTTGTGTTTACGAGAATTGTCAAAGGTTCAGTTTTAAGTATCAAAGTTCATGTGAGAGGAATGCCCGGGACTCGAACTCAAAAATGGGACAGAATAACAGCCTTTTATCCCTGCATCCTCTGTATCGCAGGAAGTAATATTCAATAGAACTTTTGTAAGTTTCAGGACAACAAGTACCAATTGCGTTTTTTAATGGCTTACAGTATATATTACATCTATGACATATAGGGGCATCTGACGTGCAGTTCAGGTTGCCAGAAATAATTGAGTAAGCTTGTTGTCCAGTTAATGGCGGCTTCACACAGTGGAGCATGTGGACCACAACACGACCGTGCAGAGACACATGTGGCGATAAACTCACGAAGACTCTAGTCCGTACACGCACCTGCACCAACCCAGCCCCGGCGTACGGGGGAAGTGCTTGTACGGGCGACACCCAGCAAACCTCAGTAGAAAACTGTAACTTACCAGTGTGTGGTGGTGAGTTAAAACAATGTTTTGAATATTATAAAATTGATTGTAAAATTGTAAGGGTGCCACCCTTAATTATCGTCATATACTTGAGTGAGTGAGTGAGTTTTACGCCGTACCCAGTTATATGACGGCGGTCTGTAAATATTCTAGTTTGGACCAAACAATCCGGTGATCCACAGCAAGAGCGTCGATCTACGCAATTGGGATACGATGACATGTGTCAACTAAGTCAGCGTGTATGACCACCCGATCCTGTTAGTTGCCTCTAACGACAAGCAGTGACTACTCGGTCAATTCTAATCTTAAAAACGAGTTAAATGTAAAACTGGTATGTGCATGTGAACATCTGTATGTTGCAGCTATTCAGTCCCACCTACAGAGCCAGTCAGCCGGTCCTGGTGGGTCGGTTGTCTTTGAAGCAGTCTTGAACCAAGACAACGCAGTGGGGTACTGGCAAAGGAATGGAATCACACTGACTAATTCATCCAAAACGCTAATCGAATCCATTGGGAAGACCCAGAAATTGACGATCTCAAATGTGGAGGCGTCTGACGTAGGCAACTACTCATTCGTCGTAAACGGCGAGACGACAACGGCTGCGCTCGCACTTCGGTCGACTGTCCCTGGTACGCATTATTTATAACTACCTGATTTTATTATGTAACCACCGCTTCTCAGATACCGTGAAATAGTGCGGGATTTAATAGTTTCCTCGGGTATATGTCCCAATTTTAGCCTCATACTTGATTGATTCAAAATTTATCTTACGCGTTGACATTAAGTGAAATACGGCTACACAATCAGCCTACAGTCAGCTGGCATTATACAAACTATAATATCTAGCCCTGGCAATACTAAACAATCACAACAACCTTGCACTTGTGTGATATCTGCTGTGATTGGTTACTTTGATACGATGATGTTGAACGTTGTTGCAGTCGATGGCGGCTTCAGTGAATGGGCCACGTGGACGAGTGGTCAGTGTTCAGTCTCTTGCGGCAACGGGTTGACGACGGGTACAAGAAGCCGCACGTGCACTAATCCTGTGCCTCAGAACGGAGGTCAGCATTGCTCAGGGCCGACGACAGACACGAGAACATCCCCTTGTAACAGGACGTGTATAGGTGGGGTTAACTACAGCAATACCAGTTACCTTACACACACATGAATGTAAACTGTCACAATACAGATCACCTCTATATGTAAATGTAGTCTAAACTGTCACAATACAGTTCACCTCTATATGTAAATGTAGTCTAAACTGTCACAATACAGTTCACCTCTATATGTAAATGTAGTCTAAACTGTCACAATACAGTTCACCTCTATATGTAAATGTAGTCTAAACTGTCACAATGCAGTTCACCTCTATATGTAAATGTAGTCTAAACTGTCACAATACAGTTCACCTCTATATGTAAATGTAGTCTAAACTGTCACAATACAGTTCACCTCTATATGTAAATGTAGTCTAAACTGTCACAATACAGTTCACCTCTATATGTAAATGTAGTCTAAACTGTCACAATACAGTTCACCTCTATATGTAAATGTAGTCTAAACTGTCACAATACAGTTCACCTCTATATGTGTAGTCTAAAATGTACCTCTAAACTGTCACAATACAGTTCACCTCTATATGTAAATGTAGTCTAAACTGTCACAATACAGTTCACCTCTATATGTAAATGTAGTCTAAACTGTCACAATACAGTTCACCTCTATATGTAAATGTAGTCTAAACTGTCACAATACAGTTCACCTCTATATGTAGTCTAATGTAGTCTAAACTGTCACAATACAGTTCACCTCTATATGTCTAAACTGTAAATGTGAAGTCTAAACTGTCACAATACAGTTCACCTCTATATGTAAATGTAGTCTAAACTGTCACAATACAGTTCACCTCCTCTATATGTAAATGTAGTCTAAACTGTCACAATACAGTTAAACCTCTATATGTAAATGTAGTCTAAAAATGTCACAATACAGTTCAGTTCACCTCTATATGTAAATGTAGTCTAAACTGTCACAATACAGTTCACCTCTATATGTAAATGTAGTCTAAACTGTCACAATACAGTTCACCTCTATATGTAAATGTAGTCTAAACTGTCACAATACAGTTCACCTCTATATGTAAATGTAGTCTAAACTGTCACAATACAGTTCACCTCTATATGTAAAATGAAGTCTAAACTACAGTCACAATACAGTTCACCTCTATATACAGTAAATGTAGTCTAAACTGTCACAATACAGTTCACCTCTATGTAAATGTAGTCTAAACTGTCACAATACAGTTCACTCTATATGTAAATGTAGTCTAAACTGTCACAATACAGTTCACCTCTACTATGTAAATGTAGTCTAAACTGTCACAATACAGTTCACCTTCTATATGTAAATGTAGTCTAAACTGTCACTGCGTACAGTTCACCTCCATATATGTAAATGTAGTCTAAACTGTCACAATACAGTTCACCTCTATATGTAAATGTAAAGTCTAAACTGTCACAATACAGTTCACTACCCTCTATATGTAAATGTAGTCTAAACTGTCACAATACAGTTCACCTCTATATGTAAATGTAGTCTAAACTGTCACAATACAGTTCACCTTATATGTAAATGTAGTCTAAACTGTCAATACAGTTCACCTCTATATGTAAAATGTAGTCTAAACTGTCACAATACAGTTCACGTTGACATGTAGAGTTTGACTAAAATGGAAATTAAGCTGTCACAATACAATTCACGTTGACATGTAGAGTTTGACTAAAATGGAGGTTAAGCTGTCACAATACAATTCACGTTGACATGTAGAGTTTGACTAAAATGGAGGTGAATCTGTCACAATACAATTCACGTTGACATGTAGAGTTTGACTAAAATGGAGGTAAATCTGTCACAATACAATTCACGTTGACATGTAGAGTTTGACTAAAATGGAGGTTAATCTGTCACAATACAATTCACGTTGACATGTAGAGTTTGACTAAAATGGAGGTTAATCTGTCACAATACAATTCACGTTGACATGTAGAGTTTGACTAAAATGGAGGTAAAGCTGTCACAATACAGTTCACGTTGACATGTAGACTTTGACTAAAATGGAGGTTAAGCTGTCACAATACAATCCACGTTGACATGTAGAGATTGACTAAAATGGAGGTGAATCTGTCACAATACAATTCACGTTGACATGTAGAGTTTGACTAAAATGGAGGTTAAGCTGTCACAATACAATTCACGTTGACATGTAGAGTTTGACTAAAATGGAGGTTAAGCTGTCACAATACAATTCACGTTGACAGGTAGAGTTTGACTAAAATGGAGGTTAAGCTGTCACAATACAGTTCACGTTGACATGTAGAGTTTGACTAAAATAGAGGTGAATCTGTCACAATACAATTCACGTTGACATGTAGAGTTTGACTAAAATGGAGGTGAATCTGTCACAATACAATTCACGTTGACATGTAGACTAAAATTTTGACTAAAATGGAGGTTAATCTGTCACAATATGCAATTCACGTTGACATGTAGAGTTTGACTAAAATGGAGGTGAATCTGTCACAATACAATTCACGTTGACATGTAGAGTTTGACTAAAATGGAGGTGAATCTGTCACAATACAATTCACGTTGACATGTAGAGTTTGACTAAAATGGAGGTGAATCTGTCACAATACAATTCACGTTGACATGTAGATTTTGACTAAAATGGAGGTAAATCTGTCACAATACAATTCACGTTGACATGTAGAGTTTGACTAAAATGGAGAAAAGAATCTGTCACAATACAATTCACGTTGACATGTAGAGTTTGACTAAAATGGAGGTGAATCTGTCACAATACAATTCACGTTGACATGTAGAGTTTGACTAAAATGGAGGTTAAGCTGTCACAATACAATCCACGTTGACATGTAGAGTTTGACTAAAATGGAGGTGAATCTGTCACAATACAATTCACGTTGACATGTAGAGATTGACTAAAATGGAGGTGAATCTGTCACAATACAATTCACGTTGACATGTAGAGTTTGACTAAAATGGAGGTTAAGCTGTCACAATACAATTCACGTTGACATGTAGAGTTTGACTAAAATGGATGTTAAGCTGTCACAATACAGTTCACGTTGACATGTAGACTTTGACTAAAATGGAGGTTAAGCTGTCACAATACAATTCACGTTGACATGTAGAGTTTGACTAAAATGGAGGTGAATCTGTCACAATACAATCCACGTTGACATGTAGAGATTGACTAAAATGGAGGTGAATCTGTCACAATACAATTCACGTTGACATGTAGAAATTGACTAAAATGGAAGTTAAGCTGTCACAATACAATTCACGTTGACATGTAGAGTTTGACTTAAATGGAGGTTAAACTGTCACAATGCATTTCACGTTGACATGTAGAGTTTGACTAAAATGGATGTAAAGCTGTCACAATACAGTTCACATTGACATGTAGACTTTGACTAAAATGGAGGTTAAGCTGTCACAATACAATTCACGTTGACATGTAGAGTTTGACTAAAATAGAGGTGAATCTGTCACAATACATTTCACGTTGACATGTAGAGTTTGACAAAAATGAAGGTTAAGCTGTCACAATACAATTCACGTTGACAGGTAGAGGTTGACTAAAATGGAGGTTAAGCTGTCACAATACAATTCACGTTGACATGTAGAGTTGACTAAAATGGAGATTAAGCTGTCACAATACAATTCACGTTGACAGGTAGAGTTTCACTAAAATGGAGGTTAAGCTGTCACAATACAGTTTACGTTGACATGTAGAGTTTGACTAAAATAGAGAAGAATCTGTCACAATACAATTCACGTTGACAGGTAGAGATAGACTAAAATGGAGGTGAATCTGTCACAATACAATTCACGTTGACAGGTAGAGTTTGACTAAAATGGAGGTGAATCTGTCACAATACAATTCACGTTGACATGTAGAGTTTGACTAAAATGGAGGTGAATCTGTCACAATACAATTCACGTTGACATGTAGAGATAGACTAAAATGGAGGTGAATCTGTCACAATACAATTCACGTTGACAGGTAGAGATAGACTAAAATGGAGAGGTGAATCTGTTACAATACAATTCACGTTGACAGTAGTAGAGTTTGACTAAAATGGAGGTTAAGCTGTCACAATACAATTCACGTTGACATGTAGAGTTTGACTAAAATAGAGGTGAATCTGTCACAATACAATTCACGTTGACATGTAGAGTTTGACAAAATGGAGGTTAAGCTGTCACAATACAATTCACGTTGACATGTAGAGTTTCACTGAAATGGAGATTAAGCTCTCACAATACAATTCACGTTGACATGTAGACTTTGACTAAAATGGAGGTTAAGCTGTCACAATACAATTCACGTTGACATGTAGAGTTTGACTAAAATAGAGGTGAATCTGTCACAATACAATTCACGTTGACATGTAGAGTTTGACTAAAATGGAGGTGAATATGTCACAATACAGTTTACACTGACATGTAGAGTTTGACTAAAATGGAGGTGAATCAGTCACAATACAATTCCACGTTGACATGTAGAGTTTGACTAAAATGGAGGTGAATCTGTCACAATACATTTCACGTTGACATGTAGAGTTTGACTAAAATGGAGGTTAAGCTGTCACAATACAATTCACGTTGACATGTAGAGTTTGACTAAAATGGAGGTTAAACTGTCACAATGCATTTCACGTTGACATGTAGAGTTTGACTAAAATGGATGTAAAGCTGTCACAATACAGTTTCACGTTGACATGTAGACTTTGACTAAAATGGAGGTGAATCTGTCACAATACATTTCCACGTTGACATGTAGAGTTTGACTAAAATGGAGGTGAATCTGTCACAATACAATCCACGTTGACATGTAGAGATTGACTAAAATGGAGGTGAATCTGTCACAATACAATTCACGTTGACATGTAGAAATTGACTAAAATGGAAGTTAAGCTGTCACAATACAATTCACGTTGACATGTAGAGTTTGACTAAAATGGAGGTTAAGCTGTCACAATACAATTCACGTTGACATGTAGAGTTTGACTAAAATGGAGGTGAATCTGTCACAATACAT